TAGTACAATGAAATTGCCTTATTTAATTTAAATGAAAGAGTAAAAGACTCCTGGGGTACATATATGACTCAACATGCATTTTTTTTTACCACAGTCGCATATATTTTAACTGAATCTATAGGTTATCAGTCAGGTAGGTCGCCTAGAATACCCGTTAATGCTACAACTTTTCGTCGCAGTATTAAACGTCAAATCTTACTATGCTCTTGAACTTACGAATTAATTACAGTGCATAAATTCTGAAATGGGAACATGTTCACCTTATACTGTATATTTGCGTTTGTTCGCGAACGCCAAATTCGCGAACACGCCCGCTTCCACATGCGATCAAAACATAACTACAAGTCCGATTCGATTGAAATTTCGATAGTAGCCGTCTACGAGAATGTACTACACGACAGTAAATTTCTCTTGCGACAGTGGCGCCATCAGGCGGTGAGGCTAAGTACTTATTGGACCGCCCTAGTATTTATATTTTAAATCACATTTAGACATCGGATTGCACGAGCTCGAAACTTCGCAGAATACACTCTCGGGAGGCTAAATTTATAATCGGTTTTACGTGTTCTTGTTTTGGGGGCTCATTTTACAACTCTGTGCCTTATCAGTCATGTGCGCTGTAACATTTTATTCGGCTGCCGCATATCATCGCGAGACTGCTACACTGCGCAACTTTACAATTTGGACATGCCCTTTTGCTATACTTCGTTTCAGCTTAAAGGGACAATACAAAGGGACGAAGTTGACCAAATGCTGCATCGAAAAGCGTGCCTATCAGTGTCATACACGAGCGTTCTTTGACGACATTGGTCTAGAGCATCAGATAATGACGACATAGAATTTGAGAGGAAGGACTGGCTGAATAGACGCAGGTAACTTCTTCCAATCCCTTCAAGAACGTGACTCTCACTCAAATGTTAACTCGGAACACCCGTTAATTTGTGGGGCGTTCATATCTTCATAAGTGGATGTTGATTTCCAACATTTAGGAAGATCGCGCATGGTTGTTGTACGCTCTTGTCGTTTAGGTCGTCTGTTGGTTCAAACCAAGTACGTTTTACACAAAAGAAATTGTGCTCCAAATTCTTAACTTATTTCGCCTATTATGTGAAAAATACGTCAGACTTTTTTTTCTCTTTATTTTATGTTTAATGTGTTGCTAGAGTATAGAGCCTCTCGCTAGTTGAACGAACGCGATGCAAAAAAAAAAAGGCCAGACTTTTTGCAGGGCCTCTTCAAGCCCAGACGCAGCCGATGCTACAAGCGCGATAATGTGGTCCTGACCAGTGCTTGCACTGCACGAGCGCGCGTTCTTGGCAAGAGCGCTGAAAGTCCGGAGCTCGCTCTTTTAGCTACTGCTACGCTCACACTTGAAGTGAAACCAAGTATTGTGTTGAGAACATCACATTTCACCAGAAAATTAAACTGTTTAACATGGCTTGCACGTGACATCATCGTACCATATGCTAGAGGTCAGAGATTTCTTTTTGCTGAGAAAAGCTAATCCCGTGGTGCACAATGCACGCTGGAGATGGTTTGCGCTCAGTGCAACTAATGGATTCAGATACAAAAAAATATTCTTTCTTGGTGTAGCGTCGTCAGCAACGGCGCGAGTGTCTGGCACCACGAAAACGCGGTTTCTGGCAGGAGGGATCTTGCGAATGAAGTAGTTTTGTGGGATCACGCAGTCTGGTCTGCGCCCAAGATGCGGAGCAGAAGAACATTTACAACACATGGTGAATTCGGGTGGTCGCCTCTCTCCCCTGACCTCGATTCAGCAGAGCGCCCCCCCCCCCCCCCCCCCCCCCCCCCTCGCCGCCAAAGCTACTCGGGATCCTTTTCAGCCGATCACAACTGCTGGCTTCAGAGGGCTCCGAGATTCTCAGACCAGTCACGGAATTAAAATTTCTGGACATTGGTATTGCATTAAAAACAACACGATCTTACAGCATACGGGGGACGATTGAGCAAAATTTACGCTCGCAACGTGATGAAATAACGGTTTTGACTTAAATTGTTTTACTCATCGGCATGTTAAAAAAGAAAACAATAGGATGCGGATTGATTTTTGCAGAACGGAACAAAAGCCAACGCTTGGAAACAGTTGTCAACTCATCGCGCTTTCGACAGTGCACGCGCTGCGATAACGGTCATGCGTACGACTAAGCAGGCGAATATAAAATGGCTAATAAACCGCATTTTTCTCACGGCGCATTTTTTTCACGGCAAGTATCGCAATCCGAAACAAATCACAGTGCATTATATTCGACTCTCCCTTTATTTTACAACACAAACCCTTGAACGCACTTTTACCAAACCGCAAAAATTTCTTGAAGCGACTACAAAATCCAATAAAACAGCGGCGAGCTCTGCGAGCTGTTTCGTCGTCGGTTAGGCTTAGCGGATTCACCGCCATGAGATGAACGGTCTTGTGAAAGCACTGGGAACACTTCACACGTCGGCTTTTCCTGTTACGGTCGCAAACGAATGTCGTGCCGTCCGTTGTAATCCTCGCAGCGTCGAATGCACAAGCGCTTTGTAGAACCACACGTCAATCACCTTCATGCCGGACCCCGCACACCACCACAGACCGCTGCCGGCCATCGTCAACAAAACCACGTGATCACTGTCCAGCTACCACGTGACGCCTGCGCCGCTCCGCGCTCCGACGGCTACAGACGGAGTGCCAGAGAGCGCTCTGAGAGGGAGAGGCGCCCTCGGAATGAACCACCCGATCAGGCAACAGCACTCCCTTTCAACCACCGGTTTCGCGCGCTCTGGAAAGAGCGCTCGAGAGCGCGCAGGAAGAACCACGTGAATTCGCCAACAGTGTGTTTGTAACCCCTCCCCCTTTTCATTGCACGATGTTATTCCAGCGAATACTTTTCATGTCCGAGGGACTCCCTCCTCGGTTTGGGGGTGCCAATTCGACAATTATATTTGTGTAATTTGTTAACAGTAATCCTCCATTTATTTTATTTTGTACCCAAAAACTGTGAAGTTTAAACAAAACTGCGAGAATTTAAGCGGCTGCCTCTATGGCCACAAAGATCTTTCTTTTAGGTATCCCTGCCAAACAAACTTCTAGTTTTATTTATCGTCAGATTAATAAGCCACATTTAGTCCTTCCAATCCTTCTATTCTCAGGGACAACTTTCATGAGAGAGTTCAGCACAACGAAAACATGTTTACCTGCCTCAATGATGTGTACATGTAAAATGGTTCATGCAAAAACGTTTGTACATTTATTAAATACCACTAAGAGCTAATCCCTGACGTTGATAGCTTGCAAAAACGCCCATTAGTTTTTCTCCGCTCAATGCCAGACGTAGAGAAAATAAAGGACAGAAATAACTTTCCCCTCCCCAACTTGCTATGAGAACAAGCGGCGATGTGATCTGACGCTAATTGTATACCGCCGCTGTTAGAGTTCAGCTATTCTTATCTTTGATTGAACACGAGCCATTTCCCGAATGTTTGGCGATGGTGGTTGTAAAGAACCCGAGCACTCGACTCGGGCTCATGGCAATCAGGTACGTCATGGTGTCACGTGACTCTCGATGAGAAGTGGTGATGGCATGTGACGTCACGGTGCCAACAACACTAATACATCCATAGTTCGTTGCAACTCAAGAATGTAGCGCGAGTGTAAGGAAGGCCGGGAGCAAGAGGCAGACGGAACGCTGGAGAAGAAAGGGGTAAACCACCTTCTTTCTCCAGCGTTCCGCCTGCTTCCTCCTTCCCGGCCTTCCTTTCCCTCGCCCTACCTTCTTGAGTTGAAACGGACTATAGGGACGTACTCAATTTAAGTCGACTTCACGCGGTGAGTCACGCGACTACGTCACAAGGCCACGTGACGTGACATTATTTCGCAGCACATTTTGACACCATGACGTCACGTGACCACCTGATACATAATTAATCGTAGTGACAATACAAAAGCGCCACGAAAACCCATATTTTTTCATGCATTGCATTTCGGTAAGTTGTCACATAAGAATGGGGCATTTTTAGACTCCGTTCGATTAGTCCAAATAAAGATTTATTAAACAACTGACATAACGTTAAAGATTAGAATACACAGATCAGAAATGAGACTTTTGGGGGAAATAATTTTAACCCAAGGAAACTTTCCCTGCCGTCCTCCCCGACCACACACACCCTCAGCGGGGGCCCCGACCACAGCCAAACTCGACAAAGACAGTTCCACACAAAGGCGGGCGAGGCGGACTCCTCTACAGCCGTAAGGGGGACCAAGTTTGCGAGCTAGCGGGCGGACGGCTCCACAGCCGAAGGGGGGTCGGACGTGCAGGTTGGTTTCCCAGAGGCAGGGAGATGTCCAAGGCTTAGTATCCAGGAGCCAAGTGCCTTACGGCCCCTCGGTGGCCGCTTATATTGGATTCAGCAGCATTGAGGTCCTCTATTCCACCAATCAGAAAGTTTTGGAAGGATCAATCAAGAGGGGTTTTCCTACACAGTAAACTTTTTTACACCCTTAAGGGTTTTTTGAGTGTCTATAACTCACACCCCTACACCCTCGCAAAAAGGTGTGTTGGACACTTGAGCACCCTTTTGATGGGGTTTTTTGTCAGCATTACACCCTTGCACCCCCAGAAACGTGAGTATGGGTGTAAGGGTGCACATGCACATCACAAGCACCGCATGCAAGCACCGAGAAAAACACTCAGATTAACTTGGCTGTATACAGTCAAGTTAGTCTGGTTTTTTTTCTCAGTGCACATGGGCTGCTTGTGATGTGCATGGGTTGTAATAGCCAAGTTAATCTGAGTATATGTACATACCTTTAGAGACATTCTATAACATCCAATGTCTGGAATGTCTGGCCATATATGATGTTTATCTTACTTGTAATGTTTACAGTACCACAATTAAAACATGTTTGTGCTGTTGAAAACTATCGAAAACACTTCATATATTCTCGCTTAACTAAGCGATTGCCTCATGCATGCATCCACTAATGAATAAAGACAAAAAGTGTACATGGAAGTTGAATACACTTTTTATTTGTGCGTCTTGCCCATACAATCGTTCAGATTGTTAAAACTCCCAGCGTAGAGTGTTTGTTGCCCACTACGCCTATATATATATATAGCTTCCTCGGCGTATACAAGAACGAGCTCATCCAATGTCCATGCTCCTTAGAAAGCATGGTTTGCGCACTTGCGCTACAGGGACAATACAGTATGGATGATTTTAATGCGTACAGATGTAAAAAGGATGATCAGTACACGAGTAACATCTTCACTTGATATGTGTCGGGCTCAACGGACATCATATCGCATGATAATAATCTGTAGTCTAATTAACTTAAGTTTGCTGTGTTTAATTTAACGATTTTATGCGTTTTGTTTCCATTGCAGCGTTGAGCGAAAGTAAAATTAGAGACTAACCCAATCTTAAGGTTTTGAATGAATGTAAAGTGCTTTGGAATAGTAAGAGATCAGTTTCCGCGTTTTTGACACGCGATTCCGAAACCATAAACTAAAACGCCAGAGGTCCTCTACGATTGTTCCTAGAAGTGTAACACACACGGCTCTGGTACCCTGTCACTCTCTCGGCAGTGTGTCATTGGCATATCCATATAAGATGCGCTGCCCAGATATATACGAGGAAACCGAAACGACTATGGCACACCTCTATAGGCATCATCGTGGACAGAGCTTTTTTACTGTGTATTTACTTTTGGAATCGGGCGACAAAAATAAAAAAAACGGATCTATTAATATATAAACCCTCTTACCTTAGAAAAAGCATAAGGTTCTAGCTCGAACCATATGCTTATTTTCATAGTATGGAAAGTTAATTAGTAATTTGTAATTAAGTACCGAACAAATTAGAAATTATCGCGCATTTTCTGACGTCTGCCACCAAGAGTAGTGCTGTACCAAAACAATTACATTTTTGCCTTGATTACGATAATTTTATGAATTTTGTAAGTCTTCGCTGAAACACCCGCTATATTAACCGGTCACCCAATCTTTAAAGAAAGATCTGTTCAAATTAAAATCAAACATCCTGAAACAGACTTAGGCAGTGAACGACGACTTGTGTTTCGCAATAAAGCGTTGGGCGACGCTCCTGGGCCTTGAAATGGAAACCCCTAAGAATAGGTGTTCCAAAACGCAACAAATATTAAACGCTTTTCTGTTGTACCTTAAATTAAACATCCAGTGGGCTGCCATGATTGCTGTGGTCCCTTCCACTGCATCTATGACGCGCAGCAGTCGTCTTTTCTCGATGTAGAGAAAAAGCGCTTCGGCCTCTTTGAAACTCGGGCCCGAAAATACGATGCAAGGGGTAAGTGGCATCTCTGCCTCCTAAAAAGAAATAGGACACAGCATTTTAGATATACAGTTCGCAGTCACATGATGTAAACCTGTATTTCTAATTATAAAGGCAGCATGTTCTAGCTGACTCAAGTCCTTTTGTGATGTGATCAGCATAAGCCGGAGCAGTCGGCCACATAATGGAGCTCGACTAACACTCAATACTTAGATATCGCCTTCATCTTCTGTTGAGATGAGTGAATGCTTACTGTTTTCGATCATAGGTATGTTTGTTGAAAAATGATTTCAGTTGTAATATGATAAAGTATCTATGCTAAAATCACAAGTATTAAAAAATATTCGTATTTTAAAATATTCTTTTGGTTCTCAGTAAAGTACTGTCAGACATCTGATTTCCTGTAAGAAATGTTTAATTTATAGCCCTATAAGTTTTCTTGTTTTTTTTTCTGCAAAAGCCTTGCGAGATATTCTTGAGGAGGTAAAAATGGCCTTTGCATGGGGTGCCTCCAGACCTAACAATGTCATAGGGGATTTTCATTAGTTACACCACAACCAAGCAACTTTAGAGTGTGTTCGTTTTTTTTTTTGTTTTCGTTTTTTTATGTGATCATGGGAGGTCTAGGAAACTGGAACCTTCATGGGGGCCATATACATATTTAAAAGTTTGTTCTAATGACCGAAGTATGTTAACACTTATATATCATTTTGTGCAACGCATACAATGTTTTACAATGACAGCTTTCAAATAAAAACTTACCGAAGGCAAAAACATCATGTGAGTTGCCCTAGGCTGCTTAAGTACTCTTGCCAGTAGTTCCAGGACACGCACGGCCTGAACGTCTGCGACAGAAACGCATAACAAAACTGAGCCATACGTTACTTGTGCTAAATTGGAAACAAACACATTGCACGTCTTCATTAAAAACACGATAATGAAGGAGAGCAAGGTTTTAAAAAGCCCATAGCATGCAAGTGAAACCGACGCATTCATAATAATGTAACAGCGCCTTTTTTAATGAATGGCTTTAAAACTAAGATTTCTTTTCTTCAAACCTTCCTAAAGACAGTTGCAGGCGTGGCATCCAGCGGGTGCCTCATGAGTGCAAGCGCATCCAAGGTGTGAGTGAAGGTAACTTAGACAGGCATCTAATTACATATACCTGCTCACATGTGCACATATGGTGGTGACTACGTGCCTTGCTTGCAACTATTTATAAGGAATCAGTTTCTTAGCTTTGACTAATGTACTAAAGGTTGAGAAAGCTACAAATTCTTACATCTGCTTTAAAAGATAAACTAATATGTTAAACGAAGACAGATATACTCTGTCCTTCAGAAACGACAATCTGTAAACACTGAGCGAGTGTCCATTTAACATTCGGTGATTTTCATTTAAAAACAGGAGGATATACACTTGCTAGTACATGACATGGCGGGCTTTAACCACTTTGCAGCGACGTGCTCGGAGAAGCGGATGGCACGGAGGAGCGTTTCATACACCAAAGGTGGGCTCAAAAGCCTGGGTTGAACATTTATTACGTCCTTTGCTTAGCTTCGAAACGTTTCAGATGCTGCGGGTGGGCGTTTATTGTGAAGTGAATGCATGCTTGGTAATCCATGGTACGTTTAAGATCCAAGGACTTAACAAGGTGACTTCGATACTATGCATTTTTGTAAGCAAAATATACCTTTCCAGGTATGCTTCGTCCAAATATTGATATGCTGCATAAATCACTGTGCAAAAATAAGTAATATGATTAAATAAAGGGAACTGTTCTTTCTGTCCTCCAACTGTTTGTATTTTTTTAACTGGCGTAATTACATTCACACTCAGCTTGCACCATTCGAGAAATTTGTGTGTAGTAGCAACTCTGATTTAGCTCAATTCACATAACTCGCATACTGTTATAAAACATTGCTTGGTTTTACTTATTTTGAGCATACCGTTATAAAACATTGCTTGGTCTTACTTATTTTGAAGCAGCACTGAAAATAACGGATGCGTTTAAAGCAGAACAACAAGCATGTCAAATGACTTTAACACAACAGGTATTTTCGTTCAAAACTGCACCTTTGAATAAATTTAGGTCATTAATTCAGAAAAGCATTTCCCGTGACAGAAATATCCTGCACTATTCGCAAATATTTAAACAGCTGCCACAGAACACTCCTATTTTACGGAGGAAAAAAAAATGCTAAGCACTCACATTTGTATCTAAGGGAACAATTAGTCCGCAGTGCACATTGAAAAAGTTATATTAAATGTAACCATTCTTACCATAGCACTGCTGTGTTTTGTGTAACTATTCACATGAAATCAATGACATACTTTATTTAAATGATTAATATGTAAATCAAGCTGCACCCATTTAAGTTACACAGTAATTTACACTGTACGAGCTAACAGTAAAAGAGACAACATTTTAAATTAAGTGCTCAAAAAATATATGAGAAAAACAATGTGTGTTGAAAATAGTACCCCAACAAATCGTATGTTTTACAGAAACACACAATTATTAACCTTAAGAGCAAAGAAATCCAATAAAGAAGGCACATCGTTTCAACACTAATTTGAACATCTGCGCATTTCCAAACATACAAGGCAACATATACCATCCTTCTGTTGGTATATGTTATGCTCAAAGCGGTATACTATTGCTTTGAGCAGATCATAGACATGCCATTTATTTCTAGTATACACGAAAGATCACTTACGTTTTTTGCGTCTTGCACCGGTTCCTGGCTGGTCAGCTTCCAGTAAAGGCTTCAGATCTTTTTTTGTAGCCCCTAGGTCTCCACTTAAAGCAAGTTCTACAACCTTATTGAACGCCGCCTCGACCGCTTCATTCCCATCTTTCTTCAAAAGCTGCTTGAAATCCTCAAGGAACTGAAACATTGTGGACGTTTTACATAAAACCCATGCATTTGTAAGAACAGTGAAATTCTTAATGTTTTCTTTCACGTCATTATTAAATGCCTTTTATTAGACTACTAACAGATTTGAAGCATTCTGTCACGCTGTATAACTACGGTAGAATCCTTTACTTCGTGCCCTCATTTTTTTACAAATGTGATGACAGACATAACCATGACCACAAACCTATGTGTATAAACGTTGGAATTCGAAAACTAGACTGGAGACATGAATTCAATTTACGCAACTCATTGGCTTCGTGAATATTTCGGCAATATGGAACTTGCAAGCGTTAAAGGTTGCACTCTATTGCCGAAGTAGATTTTAATAGATATAGTGCAGCTCCGAAACGTAAAAATGAACGGAAAATTGTCAACCTTGGTTCAGGCTATAGTTACTATCGGTGATATTAAAGGCAGAAACGTCATAACTAACATGGTGGGCGACTGAACAAATTATGCAAAACATTAATTCTGATAAGTAATTTCGTTGTACGTCAGAAACCGTTAAGCGACAACTTGTGCTTACATTAACCTAAAAAAAAACAATTTGCTGAACCACTCTCTGCCCCTGTTTTAAAGTTTTCACAAATCTGTTACGAGCAAAACGTTAGGACGCAAAGTAGCTGGTGATGGTTGAACATAATTTAGGACAAAACTGAGACTCAAGAAAACAGAAGGACGACAGAACTCACAGCCTTGGAGTATTGTCGTCCTTGATTTTTTTTTTTTCTTTTTCAGTCTTGGAATAAAATTTTACATTACGTTAAAAAAAATGTCTGTGGCTTTCAGAATACAAGTTTGTAAAATTACAGCTTTTTAGAAAAAAGAACAGCTCTGTCTACTGGATACAGAAGAAACTTCTCACCCATTCAATGTCCCTGAGATATGGATACTTGTCTATTGCTTCAGCAATTGATAACTTGCACAAGTCTTTGACCCTTGCGGAATGCGTCAACTCGAGCCTGCAGCACATTTGTTGTCTGTCGGGGTTTGGTTTGGTCCACTCCGTGACTAACCAGGCCTCATGCTGTGCGAGATTGTATTCGTCTTCTCCGCTGGGTGCCAAGTCTTGGGACTGCATATGGATTCAACAAGGACGATTATTGTAATTTTAGTTTAAAAAAAACATGTGACGTTACATTAAGTTCTGAATCACCAACCAGTGCTGCGCCAACTTTGCCCCGCTGCAACTCCATTGATGCGGTGTCGACAGCCGCCCTTGGTTGTTTCCCGCTGCTGCCGAACTTTAGTCGGTTTGCGCACACACGGTCAGTCTCCAGCTTCCGTCTCTCATTTTTGAACTTTTGGCGGATGAGCATGACCCATGAATCCTGGAGTATTGAGATTTGTTTATTTATTCAAATTGTCTCAAAGGCCTTCCGGCATTAAATCATCCATACACTTTTCAATGCAGGTAATACTGCAATGAAAAAAGGAAACTCAGAAAGTGCCGAATAACAAATGATGTTTTATTTTCATAGTGAAGTTTAATTTCATTAACATTGACAATGACTCAGTGCAGCACCTATGAATTTTTTTTCTGCTTTTTTAAATTCAAATAACATTTGCATATAATAAATGATTAAAAAAATCGCATAAAGCAGTCACCATGCTAATTGAAATTACAAGACCTCGTGCTCGTTAGTCAGCCATTTGAGCTTTGTTTTTTTTCCTGCGGAGCGTAGATAGCCGCCACGCTTTACAACTTGTTTTGTGTGCATGTTAACTAAAACCGATTTCTGCTACTTTATTTTTCACGTCACTCAAGCAAAAATAAACCAAATATGTTCTCATTCATACCAAGCTCATTACACATATCTGGAAAATAAAATTGCCTTCTGGCTTTATGAGGCCAATGGTGGTTCTCAGGTGCCAGCACCACCACGTCATGGCGAAAACCAAGCCAGAAATGTTATTACATTATAATACTCACATGCCCACTTCCGCAGGTGTCGGCAAGCTCATGATGGCGCTGTACAAGTGCTGTGCCCACCTTCCGATAAAACTGCTTAGATGGGTACCTGCATAAACAAGCTGCTATAGTGTCATGCTAAATTTTAAAATCATTTAAATTAAAAATTTTAGAGACACAGTAGGCACAAACACACAGGTCAGCATGCATTCTCACAGTGTAAATCGTGTCATCTCCTGAAAAAGGACGTCCACAATTCTTGTTGTGGCGTAAGATCCGAGCGGGTTGTTTCCGGTCACAGCATCGTGGAGGATGCCCAAGTCAGGAAGAGTGAAATCTCTGCCGTCGTCATCTTCGGAACTAAACAGAGTAAACATCTGCATCATCAGTACGGCTTAAAGATTTTCATGCTACAGACTTCTCGTCTCAATGATACCAAAGTACATGACACTGCGATTGCCTGAATGATTTTATTGTTGGCTTTGGATATTACCCCATACCAGTGCTCATCTTAGCAGTCTATAATTAACATGATGCTGGCTGATATGTCTTCAGTACTCTACACGGTCAAAATAATGTACTTTTGTGGCGGACATTTTTAGTAAAAATTAATTATTCCATAATGTGGCTCAGATATCAAAGCGAAGTCTTCCTACTTTATTGGATGAACCAAGTAGCAGAAGGTGTCATGTAACAATGCTGAGGTTTCAGTACCTGATAACATTGCTGAAGTTCTGCACAGAACTGTTGTCTGGAGCTTCCATCTCCTTCGACGTAGTTGGTTGCGAAGTACATGCAACCACCTTCAAGCAAGAAAATAATTGTATCAAGCACTGCATGGCAGGATAAAAATATGAAAGTTCTCACCTGAGCAGAATCAAAGTAAACATGTTTATTTTTTTTATTGGGTACTGCTTTGGCAGCCAAAAAAAAAAGAATAACCTCTAAAGAAACAATAGCCTAAGCTAATGCCTTTAGTATGCAGAAAAAGCGCCAAGTGAAGGGAAAAAGGACGAGGTCTTGATGTTAACTGAAATTTGGTCTGAAGGCCGGCCAGACAGATTGGCCGCAGGCAAATACTCGGCGGACAAGCAAAGAACAAACAAGGTCAACAAAAGTCACGCCTCTGACATCTTGCATTTAGCGTGGTCATTAATAGAAACCAACACACTCTAAAAAAGGTATATCGGAAAGGTCTTACACCCTTTCCGATATACTACACTCCAAAAATTCAGTTCGAGGTAGAGCGCACTGGCGTCGAACTGACTGCACCACCCTTTGCGAGGATGTTTGATAATGGTGCGATAGAACTTAGAAAAAAGCTAAAGTACGTAGCAAAGAATAGAAAAAAAGATAAACCTAGGTTTTGCGATGCGACAAAAAAAACAACATTTCTTTGAAAGTCAGTAACACGCACATTAGCTATTTGATTAAGTTGTACCGCTCGGTTATCAAGCTGCTCTGAAAGATGGTACCTTCGGTTCAACGTCAGTGTGCTGTGCGTCGAGCAGAGGTTTTGGAGTGTAGTATATGTGATGAAGGAAGCAAGACCACCGTTGTTTTCAGATTGCGGCCCTCCAGGCATTGTTGTTTGGTTAGACGTAAAAGAACAATGCCGCGGTCAATGACTTTAAAGTTTTGTGTGTAATGGAGCGTGACCGATACAGGCATCAAAAAAAAAAAAAAAACAGCCGGGAGCAATAGTACGCAAGTGAGCTGGTTAGGAAATATATACGAAACCCGGAGACACAGATAAATAAAAGAACGGTCAACACGTCAATAAAATAACGGACAGCACGACAAAACATCTGCATTTTAAGTCGAGTTTTCTATTTATGTTTATTTTTCTTGTGTCTCAGTTTTTTACGACGAAACCACCAACGTTTAGAAGGCAATGGCAAGTCGTAAAACTGATGGAAAACGGGGATCTACGGCCTATTTTCCTAACCATGATAATGTATAATTATCGCATATGATTTGCTCTACTCAAATATCTGGTATGTATTTTTTCCAGTTATTGTCAAGCAAATACAAACCTTGCTGATAATCAACATTTGCTTGTATAACACATAAACACAAGACAATCAAATTACAGATGAAAATATTTTTTCAAGTGCTGTCTTAACTGTGGCTGACTGTGCACATATGCATATACTCCGTCCTACCTTACGATAAACCGCTGCAAAGGCTTACAAGTCATAGAAGTCAATCCGATTCCGTGTGAGTGCCACGTGACATTCGGGAGGGGCCAAGCAACCTGCAGGAGGCCTAGTCAGATAATATATTCCAAACGCTTGATGCGCTGTAACCTGTAATAACTTGTAGCGTTTTCTGCGGTACGTCGTAAGGTGAAAGAGGATTCTTTATAGTTTTGTCACGGAGTGTGCTGTCTATTCTCCAACTTAGGTGGTGTCAATACAAATGGTCATGACTTTGTAACAACACAGCAAGGCATTACATGGTGAGACAACAAACCTCTTTTGTGATCCCAGCACCAGATGGCGGCTTCACGACACGAACAACAGACATGTCACAAATTGGATCTTCCTCAAGAAGGTCAACGTACTCATTGAAGTCTTTGTCGAACAACTGTGCAGAAATTAACATCGGCACCTTAATGCAAGCAAAATAAAAAAAAATTACACTACATACACTTGTGAGAGTCATGATTAATGCCGACAGTGATAGAAATATCATAAAAAACAGATCAAAATTTGTTTCCTTCATTTACTCCGCGCTGAGAACGTCCTTTTCTCTGTATCGTGAACTATGGAAAATGCGCAGAAGATCGCCTGCAATTTTACAGTTTTTTCGTTAATATTTCTTACCCTCTCCAGAAACTGACGAGAATGTTAGCAAATCTGAACGGGCGTTTAAATTATTTTGAAAGCCAAAATTGCTGTAGCAATTTTTGCATCAACAGCCCATCGCAACGCAGTCCATAAAACGCGCGTAATATCGTCCTATGGGCCGTTTTGTTTTTAGCACAACGGTACCCAACTCTGAGAAACTCTAGCACTTGAACCCAAAGCAGAACGTAGCCAGAAAATTCGTGCAGCCTCCAAATTTTTTAGCCATATCGCACGAACGCCAACCGGCGTGTAGGTCAGCGCCTTATCGCAAGGTAAAAGAGCGGGTCAGCGAGACTACGCGCCTGTGGTTGAAGGCACAGGCCTAGACTCGCTGACTTGCTGTTTCACGCCGTGATAAGGCGTTGATCTACCGGCAGGGCGGCGTTCGTGCGATCTTGTTAAGAAATCTGGAGGCAGTACATAAATCGGTAAGGGAGGACCGACATTAAGCGACTGACAATGATTTAATAAGAAGGATAACGCGCAACATCGTGCTTTTCGGGGTTTTAATATCCTTCAAATCAATATTAGAGAGAGAGAGCAATAAGAAATAGGGTTAGAAGTCCGGCTGGCTGGTGAAAGTTCGTGACAGTGGTCTAAGCAGAAAGGGGATTTCGGAGTCAAAGACGGCGTCTAGGACGACTTCTAGGGCGATCTCAAGGACGACCTCCAGGACGACGTCTAGAACATATGACAACTTCTACGGTGATTTCACAGATGTCCTCTATGACTAAATCATGGACGACCTCTAGAGTAATCTCAAAGACGACCTCTAAGACGACCTCATAGAGTAGGTCCTAGAGAACGACCTCTGGGATGACCTCAAGGACGACATCTGGGACAGCCTTTAGGATGACTTCAAAGGCGCTCTCAGGGAAAACTTCTAGGACGACGTCTAGAACGACCTCCAAGGTGATCTCAAAGACGACCTCAAGAATAACGTCTTGGACGACTTAGAAAACGACCCCTAGGACGACGTCCGCATACACTCGGTGTTTCCGCATACGCGCGGCGCATAGCGCGCCGCCGATACAGATGCGCACGGCGTGTATACGCTCTGCGCATTCGAGGCCAGGTACCGTTTTGCTAAAGGCTGTGTCTACAATGCCGTCCGACGGCACTCCAATCGCGCCTACAAGTGCCGTCCGAAAGAGTCGGACGGCGCGTGTATCACTGGGGAGCTCGTTAACACAGCCCCCAGTCTGCGTACACGCCGCTTCGCGGCGACAGTATGCGGCTGCTAATTACAAAACTATTGACCCAATTGACCCCGTCATACACGCCGCTTCGCGGCGTCCAGCCGGGAAACCAAGCCCCGTTGTACCCCATGCACCTCCGTAAGCGAAGTCCCATACCATTCGTTCAACGAAATTTCGGCGACAACATTCGTTTTTCCCGTGTTAATCGTAAAAAAAAAAAAAAATATATATATATATATATATATATATATATATTGCCAAATGCGTTGGCAAAATAAAATGTTTGAGGAAAAAAAATAAAAGCAAGCTCGCACTGGGCATCAAACCCGGGATCGCTTACGAGACAGTCATCTTACCACTAAGCTAAACTCCGCTTCGAACAACTCGATTTATACGAGACTTTCGGACGGCACTTGAACGTGTGAGTGGAGTGCCGTCGGACGGCACTTGAACGCCCTGAAAGAGTGCCGTCGGACGGTACTCTAGACACTACATTTGCTAAAAACTGAGTGAAGTAGCTTAAGAATGCTATCGCATTAATAAATGAAATATATTACCTGAAACCGGTCATTCTCGAAATCGATCTCGGTTGATAAGAGGTTGTAGGCTCGGGCTGATGTCTTCACGCCACGCAGGTTTGGCTCGTCGAACCGTAATTTTCTTTTGGTTCCGCAACTGGTCACCATTAGCAAACATGTGGCAGGGGAAGTCGTAGTTAGGGCTGCCATGGCAAGCTTGAGCAAAGTGCCAGCGCTAGCAGCATACAAGCCCTGATAACGCCAACAAGCATGCACGACGGGCAGGTGGCTTGAAGTTCAGCGGTCCGATCCCCACGAGCGTAACAAACTACGGCACAGTGAGACAAAAACCCGGCAAGATCAGCGAGCATAGAGGTGACCACAATGGCACAAAAAGCCCGGGACGTATGCGGTAACTACGCAGTACAGCACGCAGTAGCTGCATTGGATCGGCTTGGATTTGGTATTGTAAACGTTAGAAACCGAAGTGCACGGGCACGCAAAAAAAAAAGATTAATGGAATTTTTTTTATTATGAAAATATTACTATACAACAAATAATAAGTAAATTAATAGCTAAAATAATAATCCTGGTTTTAATTTTTTTTATTTTGAGGCTGTTTTCATAACTTTACGGATTCGAAGCCATGGCTATATTTAAATCAGAACCAAACCGAAACTATGGTTAAATGTGGTCATTTTCCAAATCGAAACTTCTAGCGCGATGAAGAAACGGCTATCCTGAATGCTTCCAGGCCAAGTTTAGTATAGTAAATTTTCTGAAGATAATTTTTATCAGCTCGGCTGATTCTTCTGTTATTTCAATGCTTCGTTGTTGCCTCGCTACGCCGAATACACAAGGACGAAGAAGGGGACAGAGACGAAGCGCTTCGTCTCTGTCCCCTTCGTCCTTGTGTATTCGGCGCTTTCCCTCCAGTTAGTTATGTACCAACTAGCCCCACTTATCTATCTTACTACTTCCCTACGAGAAAGCAGCGCAACTCTCGAACTCTTAAACGTCTCAGCCTCTCAGGCTCCCTCGCGCGCGCCGTGAATGAGCGTGCTTAGGTGGCGCAAGCTGTAGCCCGATTTGAACGGCTAGGCAAGGGCTAGGCCGCACGGATTAGTCCATTTAATAATTGTCTGTTTTCTTCGGCTTTTCAACGTGGGTAAAAGACAGGCGTGCACTTCTCGTATTTCTAATATCCATCATTATTCAAAGAAAGAACTTGAAGACCAACACAAGCATCGGATGATTGGAAAGGTCAAAGGCATTACCGTTCATTTCGGAACGTTTCTACTAAGGTAAGTAAAGGCAGTTGCCGGTATAATACTCACACGCCCACACGCTGACCACGATATCACGAGACCCTTGCGGAAGAGTGTTGTTATTCCGCTGTGCCGTATTTCGTGTGAACTTTCAGGATATCTGATCCCTGCTCTTCTCTTCTACGGCCTTTTTTTTCTCATAGTTTGGGTTGAAGGACCTTGAATGGGATTACTTCGTGCATTGAAGACCGGTGGTCTGGGTTGCGGGGATGCGGCATTGAGGATTCCGCTACCGCGAGTAACTTGAAAAACATTTTGCAGGACGTTGGTCGGCATAATTCCTATTGAGAACGTTAAGGGTGTGCCTCACACAGACGAAAGGGGTATATACTTACACCCCTTGCCACTTATTATACACACCAACACTTCAGTTAGACGTACAGCGCCCTGCCGTTGAACCAGCGGCACCAACTTTCACAAGCGGCCTGATAGCGAAGTTGTACAACTTATTGAAGTAGGTAATGTACAGCCTCTTTCAAAACTTCAGAGCCCACCGCGCGCGTGGCCGGAGCGGGCTCGCTCCCGTGCAGCGGCGCTCGCTGGCTGCGAGATATTTGAGAGCGAGGGGGAACTTCGCTTTCGCTGTTTTGCGCCACTTTGTTATCAAGGCGAGAGCGACGTTCCCCTCGCTCTCAAAAATCTCGCAGCTAGCGAGAGCCGACGATGATAATTATTTATAAACGCATTGTATGCTTAATAGGATGACTCCTGGTCAGTGACTAATTAATAATGTCTTTCATACAAATATGAAGGCAATCACTTTTGTAGTGTAACATAGTTTTCCCAAAAGAACGTTCGGCGGCAGCATTCGGTGAAACAACGTGTATATCAACCCTCATAGCGCGCTTTACTTCTTGGTTAAGGTTTCTATGAATATAAAAAAGCAGATCACCGCTGCAACGGTTGTCGCGTGTTAGAATGTCATTGTCAACCCCTAAGCGTACCCCGTAAATGCGGATTGCATTTAATTGACCTAACTTCGACAAGTATGTTTTAGTTATCAAGGATAGTGTAGCATGTTGCACATGTTTTTTTGTTTTTTTTTTCAGATGCCTGGGATACGGTTCTTTCAATGTCACAAGTGCCAGAAGAGAGCATTCACACTAAGGTCATTGTTTCGACATTTTCATGCAAAGCATGGGCATGAACAAAACTGGATTTGTGGGATTCAGGGGTGCTTAAGGACATATGCATCCTATGGAGCTTACCGTAAGCATGTCTCCAGAAAACATTCGGAAACTCTTGATGAGGTCCACTCAATGCTCGGCGCAGAGAGAAGTGAGGAGACCATTCTTGACATGCCAAGCAGTGATGAAGATCAACCGGACAGCCACGCAGATGTGCCATTTGTAATCAACGCTGACGGTGTAGGCGTTGTGCAAAGCAATACATGCAACCCTTCAGGTGAACCTCAAGGCTTGCTCAAGCAGTTTGCTTTGTTGCTGCTCAAGTGGAAGGAGGGAAAGCGACTTCCAAGTGCAACACTTCAAGAGATTTCTTCTGATGTTGTCTTGTACATACAGTCATTCGCTGAACATTTCCTTGCACCTTCAGCTTCAGGTAATGACCAAGAGAAGCTGAAGTTGTTTCTTGAGCGTGACCTACAAAAGCTTGTAAATGAAAGGGAACGCGAAAAATACTGGAAAAGTTGTTTGTCATTCGTCCAGCCGGAGAACGTTTGTCTTG